TGGGAGAGGGCTGCTGGCTGGGGGTTGTGGCCTTTCTGGGGCCGCTCCCGGCTATCTCCTGCCTCTGCTGCTTTCGGGCTGGGTCTCCCATACCCCAGACACGGGGGGCTGGTTCTTCTGGCCTGACTGAGCAATGCCAGCTGGGGAATGGCTCCCTGTCCCCTCACTTCCCACCTGCTACTGCTCCCAGCCCCGCTTCCTCTGTAATGCTGCCCAGCCGGGGCGTACCTATCGGGGTACAAGTACAGCCACAGGTGCGCCCATGCTCGCCCCCGTGGGCCGGGAGCTGGGGTGGATGCCACACTGCTTCATCCCTGCCCCCTAACGGGGGCCCAGATCGCCACTTCACTGGCCTCTCCAGCAGCGGTGGGCTTGGGGTAGTTGTCCTGGAGGTACCTGGGCTGAGAAGCAACAAATTCATGTCATATCAACCCCAGCCCTGTCCTGGAGCGGAAAGGCCCATCCCCTCTTCTGGGGCCACGTGTCCTGCTCCCCACTCTCCGTTAAACGAAACGACCGACTAGCTGACAGCACCCTTTGTTCCAGCTACTGTTGATGCTCCTCCGCCGAGAACAAAACAGTAGCTAGCCTTAATGTAGGGCCTCTAAGAATACGGTTCATACCCTCTTCCTGCAGGAGCCAGCGTCAAACCAAACCAAAATCCACCCCAAAGTGTCTTGTGCTTGGCTCATGTCAAGCAGGAGCAGAGGGCACAGGTGCTTAAGCAGAGCACAACAGATTATATTTTTGTAGGACCTACAATGTGGTGTTGGCTGCGGGTGGGAGGGGAAGCACATGTCGCTTTGCTGAACCACTGGTTTTGGTAGGGCCTGTAGTAATGTGTTGGCGCAGGTCCTGCCAGCTGCTTAACTGAAACAGCCGGACAGTGTTTTTTTTGTAGGGCCTATAATATGTTGGCGCAGATTCAGTCGAGATGCAGGCAAGCAGCTAAGTGGAAACAAACTGCCAGTGCTTTGCGCAGGGCTTAGAGTACAGTGCACGCCCGCCCCGCAGGGAGGCGCGCACAGATCCAGGCTTTGCCGGACGGCCAGCCCCGCATGCGAGAGGCTGCACAATTCCTTGCCATGCTGCAGT